GGGGGCGGAGTCACATCTGTGTTGCCTGCCCTCTAGCTTAGCGCTACGTTGCTGCTGGGTTTTATCAACGCTGGGTGGGGGGGGGGTCACGTCTGTGTTGCCCGCCCGCTAGCTTAGCGTTACGTTGCTGCTGGTTTGTATCAACGCCGGGGGGAGGAGTTACGTCTGTGTTGCCCGCCCGCTAGCTTAGCGCTACATTGCTGTCGGTAATTGTCGACACGGGGGCGCAGAGTACGTAAGTAGCATTTTTACTAGCACGTTTGTATTGTGCCCCGTGCTACATCAATACCGACAGTTGTCGAGGGGTTGCTTGGTTCTGTTGACGGGGCGAGGCGCCCCGCTTGTATAATGGTAGGGGAAACGCTGCCGAAGGACCAAGCTATAAGCGGGTCACCCATGGAAAATGGCCAAAACAGAGTTGTAACTATGGAATATCTTCTATTTTTGTTCTACAACCAAACATTAGGTATGTTTACATGGACATAAGTAACCGGATCAAATGGCCAGTCGGAATAAAAGTGTGTCATGTAAACACTCCGTTCGGGTTATTTTTTGTGTATTCGGCGCGATCCGATATAATTTGCGATCAGAACGAAACGGGTGGTTTACGCCGATCCGTAACCCGATCGGTGCGCATGTAAACGCTTGATCTGTTCGTTTTTATCTGATCGTGAAAAACTGACCTGACTGCGCATGTGCGACTTTGCCATTTCCGCCTGGCTAACGCTAATAATATTAGCATGTCGGGGAAGTAAAACTGGTCGGTGAGCGACACAACATTTCTACTAGAAACTTTTAAAGAGCTCAAAATGATTTATATTACCTGTAGCTCAGTCAGGGAGTGCAATAACGTCTCCACCATCATTAAAACCTGTCGCGGGTCCATTTTGGGTGCTCAGATTTGTTTACGTTCACCCCGGAAGAAGAACTTCTTCTTCTGTGTTTTTTTTAAGGAGAGTTTACCACTCTGCGCATGTCAGTACTGCTGTTCAGAACTAAGCCCGCTGCATGTAAACGCTCGTCATGAACAGATTGTGCCCATGTAAACAATACATTTGAATTATTTAATCTGAAAAAATGTCAATACGGTCAAAAAATGTTGCGCATGTAAACATAGCTATTGCCAACATTTTTTGTGTACACGTTCTTTGGTGTGGGATGAGTAGAAATATTTAAATTCTGGTTTGTTGGTTTCTTGGTGCTGTTACGTTTAAAAAATGTTAACGATTTGATAAGTGTCATGTCTGTCAGAGATTTCTCTGATGTGCTGGTAAATTAATTTATGTAGACAACATCTATGATAATCTCATGGCAAGACATTAAGGATTAATCTCAGTTTCCAGCTGTAGTTGGGATGGCTCATTTTGGTCTTTATTTCTACAAATTTGTTGTCCTGTTTCCCTTCATTTTCTTCTCACTTATAATTGTTTCCATGTTTTTTAGGCTCAAACTGCTTCTGTAATTTAACTATTCATACATCAAAATGTTTAGCTCAATTGGGAATTGTGTGCTATGACCTCTGGTTTTTGTAACTTTATTTATTTATTTTTCATTTGAAATGTTGATATTTCTTTAATTTTCTCCTTTCATTCTGCAGATCTGCCTTTTCTTATTAGCGTATTTTCCGCCGTACACGTCTCACCGCCCTATAAGTCGCATCAGTCCAAATATGTCTAATAAAGTGGAAAAATCCATAAATACGTTGCTTCGCCGTGTAAGCCGCATCTATTATGCATCACCGCTGACAATCTGGAAACGTGGGCCGGTGTTGTGCCAAAAATCGATTGGCTGCAAAATGGCGGTCGCGGGAGCGTGCACGGAGGACTTTAACAAGAATTTAACAACATTAACACTTAAAACAATTATTTATTTGCTCGACTTTATAGCAAAAGTGTGTCTCCGTTGAACTTTACCTTAATAAATTCACTTTAATGGTCAAATCAGCTGTAGTTCACCTGGGCGCCGTGGCAAAATGCAGCTGATTTGACGTTTGTGATCAAGGTGGCTTGGTATGGCAAGCCAAGTGTGTCATTAATAGCCACTTTTACCTATTCATGAGCCACTTGGCTTGCCGTATTCGTCAAGGGCCCTCTAGTGGCTGAAAATGGTAGTGTTCAATATTTTCCATGTCAGAATGAATGAAATCGTCAGATCTCAGCCAAAAATTGAGTTATAAATATGGGGTGGGGGGGGCATAAATATGTTACTTTGTGTATAAGTCGCAGGCTAATTTATGCAAAAAAAACTGTGGCTTATATTTTGCTGCTTCGCACGTTTAGCTAGCTTTTTCCTATTCTTAGTCAGCATTTTTCCACCTTCAACTCTGAGCCAGTGTTGTGATCCCTTTAGCTTTTGTTTTAGCTCCACCAACTCAGTTTTAGCTTCTTCAGCCAACGTCAGCCGAGTCATTCGGCGTTCACTCTGCATTTCTCTGGTTTTCCCTCTTCCTGCCTGCAAACCGCCAACCCTCTCTTATCCTCTGCCTCCCACAGATCGCTCAGGCCTGACCTGCGTGGACAAGATCGAGAAGTGCCAGGAAACCTACCTGCTGGCGTTCGAGCACTACATCAACTACCGCAAGCATCACATTCCCCACTTCTGGCCCAAGCTGCTGATGAAGGTGACGGACCTGCGGATGATCGGGGCGTGCCACGCCAGCCGCTTCCTTCACATGAAGGTGGAGTGTCCCAACGAACTCTTCCCCCCGCTCTTCCTCGAGGTCTTCGAGGACCAGGAGGTGTGAAACGCAGTTGCCACCGCGTGATGGAAGAATAAAGTTCATGGGGGGAGACGGGCTGAGATGGAGGGAGAGCCTCGTCGCCGGGAATCTGTTGTTTCAAAACTGGAAATAACCGACAGGAAGAACACACCAGCAACGGGAGAGCGGAACAAACTGAGGAATTTGTTTCCTCCTCCACATCTTTCTCCTCCTTATACCCACTCCTGTTTAAATATTCGTGTGGGGGCCCTTCTGTCTAAGCACGATGTCTTATCCAGTAAGAGTTGTAGCCGTTTACCAAGACATGCAAACACACACGAAGGCACAGCTTGTTTCACCTCGTTCTTCAGGGCAGCGCTCTTTGTTTCGTTGCAGTGGTCAGACATGTTTTAACCCCCGTGTTTCCAGCGTCGTGGCCGACGTCACCTTTCAGTATTCTTTCTGAATAAGTGTTAAAGCGGTCGCTCAGAAAATGGCGGCACCGTTTCTCACGGTTCAGTCAGCGGACGCTTCGAGCTGACATTTCAGCGCAACGTGTCTCACATTTCTCCGGTTTACGTTCAGTCACTCAACTCAACCTGAGCCGTCACCGTCGTCGTTTGGAGCCGCTGCTTCTCTCAGATCCCGCTCAAACAGGTGCTATTTTTTTTAAAGGCTACTACGGTTTGACAAAACGTCTGCCTTTAAGAAGCGCGCAGACCTCGGCTCAAAATCTACCTTCATTTTTGTCATCGGACCGGTTCCTGTGACATACAACGCACGTGCACACACACACACGTATACATATGTGCAGACATGCCTCGTCTTTGCTTGTGCTGCCTGTGCCATTCTGTGAATGACAATGAAGCTCTTCTCTCTCCACGGAGTTAAATCACGGAAGAAAAGCAGAAGAAGAGACTGGAGGAGAGGAAACACGATGTAATGGCTGGACTGGGCAGGCCGAGGGTCGGGAGTAAATCTGTGCCCTCATAGCAGCAACAATCGACAAGAGAGCAAAGCTCAATTTGAAACCCTGTCTTTCTCCTTGTCTGAGACACACACACACACAGATATTAACATGAAAACACACAAGTTCACCTCAGAGTAACGTGAATGCCTCATTTTTACTGTACACACTGCACGGCGGTGTCAGTTTATGGCCCTAACCTGCAGGGTTACCGAGTCCTCTCATGGGCTCAGCTCAGTGTGGCCCCTCCAGGCTTCCATACACACTTGCCTTTTTTTGTTTTTCTTTTTGTTTTGTTTTTTTAAACCATGGGCGTCACTGAAAGCAGGCATATATGCCAAGAAGGCTACCATTTACCTCAAAATGGACACACCCAAGGGTGGGGCAGAGCGACTGCCCCACGGTGTCAGGCACTACCTCACCTCTGTGGACACAGGGCAGCTGCCCACAGCCAGACGTACACTATTCTTATGTAGACTAACACACAAACGTGCATAGGTTTTACGTGACTGCACACTTGTAGTCGTGAAAGATTAAACACTCGCAGAACGCACACACACATGTTCAGTTGTACCACTTGGTTCAGATGAAACCACGTTAAAGACAGGAGGGCCAACCATCCCCCCCTGCAAGGTTCTACCCCCTTCAGGGAATGGTACCCATTACGTTCAGGTCATCTCGTTTTCTGTTCTTTGGGACCAAGTGTCGTCTTTTTTTATTTGGACGTTGATCTGCCTGTTTCTGTAAAAACAGAAATGGACTCTGAAGCAGTGAAAGGACAGCATGGACACCCCACCCCCCCACGGTTGAGGCCGTCTTAGCGAGCAGTAAGAGGATGGACAGGAACTGAAAACCCACGGTGGCCTCGCCCCGCTGAATTAGCGTGCACAGAAAGGGCGTCTGCTTCTCAGAGATTTTCCGCAGCCCCCCGCGACTGCTGCCGTTTCGATAAAACAAGGTTTCCCTAACGCACGAGCAGCACGTCAAACTGCAACAAGTGGGGTTATGTTCTCAGCTCGTTTCGTCTCACGGGCTTCCCAGTTCTCACCACTATAACAGTAATATCTCCTGTCAGATATCGTAGCCCAATACGACCAGTGAAGGTTTACAGTCGCATTTTTAAAAGCCCACTTCATTCCAGTTCTGGGGCCAAACAGATCTGAATGGGTTTACCAAAAAGAATAACCGTTGAGTTGTTTATACTGGCCACGTGTGCAGGATGGGTACTGGAGCATGGATAGCCATCCAAGTTGGGAAGAAAAAAGAGGAATTGGGCTGCTACGCTGGGCTTCCTCAAGTGCATCGTCTTCAGGGATCCATCACTTTTCCTGCTTCTTTTTCAGCCCACAGCATAACGTTCTCTGGAGCTGAGCTCAAGCCACCGTTACAGCCCCATTCAGCCAGGCTGATGGGAGTTTTTGCACTACTGCGGTCCCGCCTTTAAGTCCTCATCCGTCAGAGTTTTCTTATCAGTTTGTATTAGTTTACCCTAAATTGATGTCCCTAAACGCTCTGTGTAACAGACAACAGTGGGCTCAGTCCCAAACCTGCCCTGTCTTCAGTATTAGACCAATAGAAAAAGGTATGGGAAGAAATCCCTGTTTGGGAGGGTTTGGAGGGCTGTGTAGCACTTATCACCCCTGGTTTTAGTACCATCCCATCCTATGGCAGAGTCAGTTTACATTTCAAGTTAAGAGCCCTCCTTTTGTTCTTTCCATGTCCTTTTGTCCTCGCTTGCCACCCAACAATCACTGACACCAAACAGGATCCTGGCCTGTCCCTTGTGAGACAAGGCTGGCCATAGCTGCCCTTCAGAGCGGCACCACCGACCGAATGTGAACGGCGAAGCAGTCGCAAGAAAGAACTTGGAGAACACGAGGACGCAGGCGAAGCTAAAAGCCGAGGGTCTTTCCAACCCTCACTGCCATCTCTGACACGAATGAGAGCGGGCGATGTGGCCGGTTGTAAAGACAAACGCCGTGGACGGGAGAATTTTGGGATATGCATCGTCTCCCCTTCAGATCCCGAACAGCCCCCCCACGTTCAGCTCTGCTCTCGCCTCAGCTGACGACCCCAAATGTTTACCCCTCAGCGAGAAGCGCCACCTTTAATACTGTGAGGGTCATAAAAGAGATCCCACATTCCAGAGATGCAGGTTTGGATCGCATCTTTGCAAGAAAAACACAAACTGAAAAATCAACGAGACACCCTTTTGTTGAGCAGACTGTGTAACTGAGGGGGCTGAAATGCTGCTTTACGAGAAAAAAAAAAGAATCCATACAGCAAAATGAAACGGACTTCAAAAAGAGACTCCAGAACAAAATGGTTGGAGATTATTTTTCTTGTTTTCTTATATTTCTGTTTGTATTTTGATGCTTTAACTGCTCTGTGTAAACGAGAGAGAGAGAGAAAATGGCTGTAGTCACTTTTTGACCGTGCTTGCAGTGTAACGGAAAAAAATCTCACTTCTTTTTCACGCCTGTCTTCTGTGTTCATAACCCCGTTGGTCTGTTTTTATCCGAGTCCGTTCAGTTGTCTGTCCCCTTTATATAAGGAGGAACTTACAACCAAGAAAATAGGAATTTCTTTTTTTATACACATGTATTCTTTTTTTTATGGAAAACAACTTTGGGAAGAAAACAAACAAAAAAAAAAACAAATTCAACCTAAAAACTAAAACAAAATAAGAAAAAAAAAATCCTCGTCATACCTCACACAACACAAAACTCCACTAAACCTGGGAGGAGTTTTGCAGGCACATGTGAACGTGCAGAAACAAATGTAAAGATGTTTAAAATCAGGAGAAGTTACAAAAGGACTTTTCCCTCGAGCTTTGGCCTTTTATTCATTTGGCTCTTGGTTTTTGGCGAGATAAACTGAGATTAGGGATGCACGATATTGGATTTTTGACCGATATCTGATATGCCGATTTATTAAAACTTATTTGGCCGATACCAATACTGATATTTTCCCCCAAGACCTTTACAGAGACTACATGGCTTTCTCTGCTGTGGAATTAAAATACTACATTATTCTGCGTGGTCTTTGTCAATTTGGCCTGATACCAAATGCAGATGCCAAAAGGGGGGCTGAAAATGATGTAACACTTCAACTTGGATTATATTTCATGACAAATTTTGTCACTGGGTTGTCATACAAAAACAGCGCCTTTTATTTTTATATATATATTTATATATAACAGCGCCTTTTATAGTTATTTTGATGGAATGGCCCATGTCCGATATTTAATTTTAAGGCTAATATCGTCCGATACGGATACCATGCCGATAATATCGTGCATCCCTAACGGAAATTGTTGAGCTTTTCTCCCAATTTAAAGCAACTCAAGATGCGAACGGGCCATAAACTGAGGGGTATTTGCTTCTGTAATTGGCTGATTGTTTGATGGAGCTGAATGTAGCTGACGGGGGGTGGGGGGGGACCTGAGCCCGGCACCGACGACCTAACTTCCACACACCAGCAGAAAGGATAGCGGTGTCACAGTCGATACAAAAAGTTAACATAAAAAACAAAAGCTACAAATATATATTGCTCATTTGCAAGGTGCAATGCTATGTACTTTTATATGTTTGGATTTTGTTTCGTTTTATTTTTCTTACTTTGTTTCGGCCATAACCATGGATGTAAATACGCAAAGATATAAACACTCATTGTAACGATTTTACCGCTCCATCCCATTCTCATGTAAGTAGAGGAAAAAAAGAGAAAATACAAGTTTTATGTGTGCACGCTGTCACATGTGCATGCAGGTCCAAACTCCAAGGTGCCCCTTGACATTAATCACAACCCCTGTGCCTCCGACCATTCCGAGTCCCACCAAAACATGAAGCGCTGCTCGTGTGGCTCTGGTTCTGTGTTTGTTCACCTGTGGAGTCGAATGTGTACCAGTGCCAGCGTTTGCAGCAGGCGCGTTAGCTGCACAAAGATATGCTGTTAGTTAGCATACATGCTGGCTAGCCCTGCTGCAAAACACATCAGAACAGAATTACATTAAAAAAAACACAACAGCATTTGAAAAAATGGAATTACATTTGAAAAAAACTGAATTACATTAAGCCAAAGCGGAAGTGGCAAGAATCACATTTGAAAAAAACGGAATTACATTTGAAAAAAATGAAATTACACCAAGCCAAAGCGGAAGTGGCCAATGCGGAAGTGGTCAGAATCACATTTGGAAAAAACAGAATTACGTTTGAAGAAAAAAAACAGAATTACATAAAGCCCAAGCGGAAGTGGCCAAAGCCACTGGAATCACATTTGGGGAAGAAAAAAAAACGGACTTGCATTTGAAAAAAATGGAATTACATTAAGCCTATGCGGAAGTGGCCAAGGCGAACGTGGCCAAAGCAGAAGTGGGCAGAATCACATTTGAAAAAACGGAATCACATTTGAAAAACAGAATTGCAATAAGCCATTTTATGTTGTTA